ATGTGGGAAGGGCTTCAGAGACAGCTGCAACCTGATCCGCCACCAGGGGATCCACACCAGGGAGAAGCCCTACGAGTGCACGCAGTGTGGGAAAGGCTTCAGCAAGATCTGCACCCTGATCACCCACCAGAAGATCCACACTGGGCAGCGGCTCTACGAGTGTCCTGAGTGTGGGAAAAAGTTTCAGACGAGCTCGAGTCTCGTCAGACATCTGTGGATTCACACAGAGGAGAGGCCCTTCCAGTGCCCTGACTGCGGGAAGGATTTCAATCGACAATCCAGCCTTGTCAACCACCGGCGCATCCACGCCGGGGAGAAACCCTACGAGTGTGGGAAGTGTGGGAAGAGCTTCAGCACGAGCTACCACCTGCTCCGCCACCAGATATTCCACACTGGGGAACGGCCCTACGAGTGCCTGAAGTGTGGGAAGAGCTTCAGCATGAGCTACCACCTGATCACACACCAGAAGGTCCACACCGGGGAACGGCCCTACGAGTGCTCCGAGTGTGGGAAGAGGTTTCGGAGCAGCTCCAATCTCCTCCAGCACCAGCGGATTCACACGGATGAGAGGCCCTTCCGCTGCCCCGACTGCGGGAAGGGCTTCAAGCTCAACTGCCACCTCACTGTCCACCGGCGCATCCACACCGGGGAGGCGCCCTACGAGTGTCCCGAGTGTGGGAAGGGCTTCAAATACAGCGGTGCCTTGACCAGACACCAGCAGAGCCACCAGTAAGGGAAGCCCGGTAGAAACATGAAAAGGAGACTCACAAGCTGAGGGCAGAATGAATCCGTTGATTGCAGAGTTGAGACAGTACTTCGACATTTAGTGTGAGAGTCTTTGTTCAGTCCTTCACACCCAGCAATGTTGCAGGCCTGTAATAAATCCATCAGCCTGACGCTTTTTTTCATTTTCTCAAGGTGTGCAGCCTTCCAAGGCACAGGACGCCTTTCCTGTTCTTAGACAGCATGTAATCCAAGTTCTTCCATGCTTCCCAGCAATTTTCTGCAGCGTCAATCTTTGCTGTTTTCTTGCACCTCACATGGTTCCAGTTGCTTTCTTCCAGCCTCATTTTGGTTCCAGTCACTCCAAGTCTTTCCCAGTGTAGCCCAGTTCCCTCTAGCATATTCCCAGTCACTCCCAGTTCCTTCCACCATGATCCCATTTGCTCCCAAGCGCTCCTTTAAGCCTCAGTGCAGTCTCACTCACTGCCAGTGTGATCCCAGTCACTTCCAGCCTAATCCCAGTTCATCCCAGTATAAGCACAGTTGCTTCCAATCACCTCCAGCATGCACCCAGTCAATCCCAGTATTTCCCAGTTGCTCCTAGCATGATCCCAGCTGCTCACAGCTGTTTCTGGTCACCCTCAGCATGACCCCAGTCACTCCCAGTGTATCCCATTTGCACCCAACATGGTCTCAATTGGCCCCTGCAGGTTCCTGCTC